TGTAAGTGCGCAGAGGGGGATGGTACAGTTCAGGGTGTAAGTGTGCAGAGGGAGATGGTACAGTTCAGGGTGCAGTGCGCAGAGGTGAAGCATACAGTGTGGGTGCAGAAGGACCCCTCTTCGGCTCCACAGGCTTCTTCACGTTGCCTGTGGGGTCACAGGAATGGCCTTTGGATACTCAGCTGCTTAATGCAAGACCCTCATCAATAAAGTGCTTATGTGCTCTGTCTATTGGTGCGGCTTCTCCTGACCTTGCTGCACTGATGGGACATGCTCGTTGCTGCTGCTGTGGGATAGACATCACAGGCTCCATCAGTGAGACTGCGGAGCTGCCAACTCCCTCCGGGACTGCTGGCCGCTCTCACAGTAATTCCTCGATCTTTATCGCATCCATTGACAACTGCCATTGATACTTGATATTCACACAGCTCCTCCATTAGTGCCAGCCCACAAGGCTTTTGTGGTGGAGGCAACGGCCGAATGAGGAGGGAGGCAGAGGGGGCAATTTGCAGTCCTAATCTTTGTCACTGGATGTGTGGTCTCGTAGTTTTCCTGCAGAGCTGAAGTTTCATCGGGAATCCAGTGACAACAGCGTCCAGAAGCCATTTGTCTGAAAGACAGTTATTGAGAGGCTGTGTTTAAAAGCCTGTTTGGGGTACCGTGGGGGTGGAAGACAGTATCAGTTATGTGTAAACTCAGTCCTGACGCAGCTTATTGTCTGGTGGGAAATGGCAGGCAGATGAAGATATAGGGAATTTTTAAAAATATTTTTATTGATTTTTTTAGAGAGAGGAAGGGAGAGGGAGATAGAGAGAAACATGCATGTGAGAGTGGAGCATCCATCGGGTGCCTCCTGCAGGTCCCATACTGGGGATGGAGCCTGCAACCCAGGCATGTGCCCTGACTGGGAATTGAAAGGGTGACCTTTTGTTATACCGGTCAATGCCCAACCAACTGAGCCCCACCAGCCAGGGCAAATGCAGTGTCTTTTTAAAGAGCTGGCTCCCTCCAGTGTTCTCCATGTGGTGGGAGCCCAGTGACCTAGTGGAAAAGCAAGCATTTGAGGGTCAGACAGACCTGGACTCCAGCTCCAGCTGCATCACTTACAAATTCCTCCATCAAGTCACAGCAGAGCCAGGCCTGTTGCAAGAATGTGGGGTGAAATGAAATCATTTCAATGGGAAAGCATTATTAATATATCTTGGTGGTGGCCCCCAGGCCACATCGCCACAGCGCTGGTCTGGGGGTGGCCGTGGAAGATGACCAGCAGAGCTGCTGAGCCAGCCTGTGAAGCGTACAGGCAAAGCCTCCAGCCCCAGCTCCCTGACTCCTCCAGGAGAGTCTGTAACATTGGAAACACAGATCAATCCCTTGTTCTTTCCAGATTTAATTTGTCTCCAACAATGTATGACTGTGTCTAGATCTCACAGATACCCTAGACCAGTGATGGCGAACCTCTGACACGCGTGTCAGAGGTGACACGCGAACTCATTTTTTTGGTTGATTTTTCTTTGTTAAATGGCATTTAAATGTATAAAATAAGTATTAAAAATATAAGTCTTCGTCTTACTATGGTTGCAAATATCAAAAAATTTCTATATGTGACACGGCACCAGAGTTAAGTTAGGGTTTTTCAAAATGCTGACACGCCGAGCTCAAAAGGTTTGCCATCACTGCCCTGTACACTTGCTGCCCCGGCTCATGCTCCCGTTCTCCTTCGCACAGTAAGGGGATCCCGTCAGAGCCCTCCTGTGGCCTCCATACAACCCCATCATGGAAGCCAGTGGCTGCCAAATGGAAAGAGAGCCTTCCTTGCCACCGGCCACAGAAGCCCTGACCTCTAACCTTTAGATCCCAGTTTAAAATGCACCTTTTTTCCCCCCATCTCAGCCCTCAGTAGTCATTTCACCTTTATTTTAAGAGTTTCAAACATTTGTTGATGATCCCAATGCTCTCGAGCCTCAGAAAGCGTAGGCTCCGTGACCAATGTCATAGCGCCAATCGGTAGCTCTGGAAGCCTGTCCCCCTGACTCCAAAACTCGGCCTCTCAACCATGAGCACCAGGGCTCACAGGCCCCGACCCTGCTGGGGGTCAGGGAGCCGACCCCTGACTTTAGAGAGGAGCAGGATGTTGATGGGGGAGGGGGGAGAGAAGGAGGGAGCGAGCGGAGGGGAATTGAGGAGAGGAACGGAGGTAAGGGACATCGAGTTTGAGGAGCCACTGTGAGCGAGGGCTGTGGCTCCCAGCTGGAGGAGGGCTGTGAGTGCCAAGGGAAGTTTGCCTTCCCTCTGATCCTGAGACAAAGCAGGCATCTGTGATGCCCTGGCAGCAATCACATGTTTCTGCCATCACTGGCGCTTGATTTTATTTTTAAATGTTTCCCCTTCGGTCCATGTGTGCCTACCTGTCCTTCAGATTCTCATTCCTCCCACTTTCTCCCCTGCTCGCATCGCCCGGTCTCCAGGTCTGTTCACAGACCCTGAGTGGGGTCTCAGGGAGCCTACTACAGAGACCAGGGAGGAGTGGTCTTCAGGTGCAGGTTGGACCCAGGGCAGGGCCTGGCACCTCACCTCTGGGCCTGTCTCTTGCAGATAATCGGGACCATTCCTCTGATGCCAAATCCGGGGCCATCGAGCCAGGCAGCGAGCGGCACTCAGGGCCTCCAAGTGCAGTCGATCACCCCCCAGCTTCTGACAAACGCCCAGGGCCAGATCATCGCCACGGTCATCGGGAACCAGATCCTGCCAGTGATCAACACCCAGGGCATCACACTCTCACCCATCAAGCCCGGCCAGCAGGTAAAGGTTCCCTGTCCAGGCAGCCAGGGCTACCTGGATACCTCTCATCACCTTGCACCTGTTTGGTTTTAATCAATGGAAAGTAATTTTTAGATTATGAAACATTTAATTCCACTAATATATCAATATTTCTAAACAAGCAAGTTAGCTTTACTTTTTATTTCTAGTGGATATGGGTGAGATCTAAATAGTTCTGTAATATAAAATATGACTTTATTAAATTATAAACAAAGACAGTGGTCTAAAATAGGGATGCGCTCTTATATATTTTTACACTATGATTTTTATTTTCAGAAAAATTTAAAAGGGGACCAAGAGAAACCAAGACAACTTATGCCTTAACTTTAATTTTTTTTTAATTATTAACCACCAAGAGATCCCATCTTTGTGCTGCTGAGACTGCTGCCTACAAATTAGGAAATGCAAAATAGGAAGTTCTACTAGGTTGAATTTCATTAAAACCCTGACAATCCAGTTCTTTTTCTTTTTTTTAATTCAAATATTAATGGGGCACTTTCTACGTGTTGTGCTAAAGGTTGGGCTCACAGCTCTGAAGAAGAAAAATGTGGCCCCTGACCTCAGGGAGCTTCTGGTTATTTGTTTCATCCAAAAAACATGTTTTGATAACCAACTATATAGCAGGCCCCGACTAAAGGAGCAAAAGAAGACTCTGAGCTCCTTCCTGGTTTTAAGGAGCTCAGAGGACACAGATACATAGCAGAGCCCCATTGTGCCATAAAGCAGAGGATGTCCTGTGACAGGACAAATGTGCACAAACTTAGGTATCATCACAGAGATCGGAGTGACCAACTTTGCCCAGAGAGTTTTGTGTCCTCACAGAGAAAATTATTTGAGAACTGAGTCTTAATGAATGAGTAAAAGTTAACCAGGTCAACGATGAGTTAACAAATATTCCAGTCAGTGGGAACAGCAGGCACAAAGGCAGAGGAATGTGAAGGAGGGAGGAGTGTTGAGAAACAAGGGAAAGGTTCATCGATTGGAGAGTAGAGGGAGGCTGAGAGCAGTCATGAAAAGGGCTTCGTAGTCCAGCTGAAAAGGATGGACTTTGTTTCTGCACGATCTTGAACACACTACACATCATCGTTGTGCCCCAGTTTCCTCATTTGTAAAATGGGGATAACCAGTACCTACCTCACAGTGCGGTATGAGAATTAAATGAGTTAATATGCTGTATATGAAATGATTGGAACAGTGCTAAGCACACAGCAGGCACTTAAATAGTCATGATGATGGTGGTGATGATTTACCCTGCAGACCTGGGAGGCCATAGGAGGTATTTAAGAGAAGGTTGGCACTCTCAGTTTTATTTTTTCAAGAAAACAGGTAACAGATGGAGGTTGAACTGAAGCGGTGAAGCATCCATTGTAAACACACTATTTAGGAAACTATAGCAAAATACGAATAGAAATCCAGAAGAGCAGGCACTAGATAGTTGAAACTTAAGGTCTGGAATAGTAGTAGAGCTCAGGACAGGATCTGAGAATCATGAAACTTATGTTGTAGCTGAAAGCAAGACAACCAGAGAAATCATTAGGAGCAAGTGTGGAAGGAAGACAAAGAAGTCATCTGGAAACATCAATATTTAAGGAATGAAAGGGGAAGGGAGGGAGAGCAGAGATGGCTGGGTAAGTAGGAGAGGAACCTAGAGCATGGTGATGTAGCATCCAAAAGTTTTTAAAAGGTAGGGAGTGCACAACAGTGTCAAAGGTGCAGAGATGAAATCGGGTACAGCAGTGGAGAAACATAATTTCCTCTACTTCTTTTTTGAAATGTCTTAAAGTCTGGGTTGTCTGTGTTTGGAACATTTGAAACTAGTAACTGGGTGAGTTAAGCAGCAAGAGGTGGGGACGGCTAAGGCCCAGATTTGCAGTTGGAAGGTGCACATCAAAGGTGGAGGGGGGGCGGGGGGGAGAATGATGGAGACTGTCAGGGAGTGCCTGGCTGAGTACAGGGCTTGATGAGTTGTTGGGAAACTGTATAACGTCAAGGATTTAGCAAGGAATTAAAATACAAAGGAAATAAGAAACCATTGATGCATCATTCATGGCAACAAAGTGGAGTTGTCCTTCCAAAGACCTCAGCCATTTGGCTTCTGAGCCAACCATGGAAACAGCCTATTCGTGGTGGCACTCTTAGTGGCTATACTTGAAATATCCATTTGCTTGTCCAATAAATATAGAACATTTTAACTATAAATATTTATTGGCCACCTACTATTTGTCAGGCACTGTACATGGAAACTAGGCTGGTGTACAAGACGATGCCATGAGCCCTTCCTTCATGCGGTTTACAGTCTAGTGAGGGAGATGGGCATTCATCAACAAATATGTACCTAAGATCTTCAGTAAATGCCATGGGGGAGTAGTAAGGGGATCTAGGAGAGTGTTCAGCACAGGAACTTCCTCCAGTGAGGGGTTCAACACAAGGAAAAACACGCTAGGTCTGAACGCACTTCCCAGGGATATGACTTCTGTCTTAACCCTTCTAATTTTCACTCTAAATCTAAATCACTGCTTGGGGAGCCAAGGTTCCCAGCCACGCTCTTCTTCCTCAGCTCTGTCTCCCCCAGTGGGGCAGCCCCGGCTAAATATGTCATTGAGGACTTTCATCCCCTCCACAGCCCGCATCCTCAGCTGGTTTATTCTTTTGCCACTTACAAGATTCCATTGCATTCTCTACTTTCTAAATAGTTCCCCAAATAAGGCAAGATTCTCTCTCTCTTACATTTCCTTTTTAAGCCATAATTCTTTTTTAAATATATTTTATTGATTTTTTAACAGAGAGGAAGGAAGAGGGATAGAGAGTTAGAAACATCAATGAGAGAGAAATATTGATCAGCTGCCTCCTGCACACCCCCCACTGGGGATGGAGTCTGAACCCTGGGCATGTGCCCTGACCAGGAATTGAACCATGACCTCTTGGTTAATACTTCCATGCTCAACCACCAAGCCAGGCCTGCCAGGAGTTAAGCCCTAATTCTCTCTGTTCAAACTTATATTCAAAATTATCTCTAGGGGTAAATGAAGAGATTACCTCTTTTCATACAATCTGTTAAAAACTATTTCTGTCAGCAAAGACAAGCTGTACGTTGTCCCCCAAAAGTACTGAAGTAATTAGAAATCATCACCATTTAATACAAAGTAGCTCCCACTTTCACCTTGAATTTCAAAGGAGGGTGTTTGGGTGATAAACGATAGCAGTTACAGAAAATTACAGCTCTAGATTTGAGGTAGTAACGTTTTAAACCAGGGGAAGAACCTAACCTAGAAATGGCAAATAAGAGGCAGGTCTGTGGCCACTCCTCAACTCTTTGCCCCCAGTAGATATCATTAACCCATTTCCACAGTCTCTCTCATAAGCACAAATGCATGAGGAGCTTTCTTTTTTTTTTGCACTGTTGGCCCCTGCAATGAATCCTCGTTACTTCTGCAGGAACATCTGGTCCTCGATTGGTGTAACCACCACCACCGTCCTCTTCACTGTAGATCTGGAGATCTAGCAACTGGGAAGAAACAGATAGCCTCTTGTGGGGAATGGGGGAACCTTGCAAATTCCCTTATGGCAGTTAGAACCAGCATCCCAGAGAGTGGAGTCTCCTTGCATGTATGAGAGCACTGAGAGGACACAAGCTCACAGATCAAAGATGGCACCTGAACCTTCCTGAATCTCCAGATCACAGCAGCCCATCCCATTTGTTCAGGGCCTGTGCCAACTGTCTATTCTAGTTCCAGAAAGATCAATGGAACTAGAGGTGAACCTGATCAGAAATGTCAGGGAAATGGTGGAAATAGAGGAATAAGTATTGTTGTTGGGGTTTTTTTGCATCGCCTGTCGTTAAAATGCCTTAGAACATGTAGTAAATTAACAAGTTGGATGAATTGACAGGAGATTCACAAGTCTGAGTCCCATTTATAAAAGCTGGGATTCTGAGGATAAAGGATCATAAAATGCTCAGAGTCCCAAAGTAAAAAGCTCAGAGCTGGAGGTGTAAGGTTAGTGTTCTTCAGTTTTTTCTTTAAATATTACCTATCATGCAGTAGAGAAGTTCCTCAATTTATTTTTTCATGTGATTTATGGCAAATGCTTGATCTCACAAGAGCATAGTTCCAACAATGAGATAACTCATAAATTACAGGAACATAGAGATCCTGAACATGCACTCAGAAGGAAGTCCCACTTGATGGAGTAAAGTGCAGGGCTCTCTGACCAGACGACTTGGAGTGATGAGAGATAATTACATCTTTAATTCAATTTTTATATCTGCCTCCCCTAATTAAGAGAGCCTGAGTAAAATCTGAGTGAAGGGTCAATGACTCTTTTTTAAAAAAAACTACTCTCGATGATGATTCTTTTCAATGATGAAAGCTCAATGACCTGCAACTTTATCATCTGAAATACAAACATTTTTTAAAAAATATATAGCACCAGGATTTGATAGCCCTGGATATAGCTTCCAGTATCACATCAGAGATCCTTGGTGAGCAATACAAGAAAATAAGAGTCAGAAAAGGACTAGGAGAAACAGAGAAAGAGAGAGAGAGAGAGAAAGAAAGAGAGAGAGAGAGGGGAATCTTACTGTGCATGAAAAAAAATTACTTAATTCAAAAATATTTGGTGGAGCTCTAAAGTAACTTTTTGTTCCCTCCATGGGATTTTTCAGCTAAGATGGATGGATGAACTTCAATCCCCCATAGTTACGGTGTCCTAGAACCCCTGGCTTACCCTGATCATCCTGTGACTATGAATTAATTATTTCTTCATAAATAGCAGAGACATCATTTTTGTATATATTTATTCTTCTGTTGACTAAATCCTAACAGAAGCTGGAACAAAACATGTTGCAATTTGTAAAATCAAAGCATTGAAATTATTCAAAAATTAAATAACAATAGCTATACTTGGAGAATGCAATCCATGAAGCCACTCAATTTTTCTTCAAAATGTAACTATGTTAATAGGAAGTGACAGGAGGGTGGTTT